CTTAGTTTGCACTAAAGTACTACAGCCAGTGGTTCGGAGCTCACCCTAGCTCTCCTTTAGTATCACCAGAACAGGTGCCCTAGGGCTGTCGTACAGGCCCTAGGGGCACAATCTCTGCCAATCTCTGGGCTAGGCTTCAGCCTTAGAAATCGCAAAAAATCGTGAGATTCAGCCTTCACATTTCGTGGGCCGTATCAACGTAGCCTTGAATATTAATCATCCCCCAAGCCCGTGCTTCTGCGACCTGCAGACGTGTGACTTCCACATTATCGTAATGGTCTCAGTCTCGTGGGTTCTCATTCACAGCAATATTTGAATTTGGTATATATATGGGTTATGATGTGGCATGCGAACACTACAAAATCCTCAGTCCCCGTTTCCCGCTCAGTCCGCGTCATATGGCGCGAAAGCACTCTCGCTCAGTGAGACAAGTCAAATTTGACCGCGCCAGAAGAGCGACATTGGGCGGAATCCCGTTGAGAAGTCGAAGTCAAAGGAGGCCAGCGCCCTCGTCAGATGCAACCGCCCTACAACAGGCGTCAGAATCCATGTCGATGAGTCACAATATCATGCAAGAAAGCTCACCTGGACCGCATCCGCACCCATCCTGATACCCCGCTCTCCAGGCTTGCCCAGCCTCATGAGAAATATCCCATGCGGCCAGCGTTGACGTCGGTGGGAGGAGAGACAGCTCGAGCGAAACGATGCTGCTGCATTTACGCCAGGGGAGGTTGCCGGCGGTGGGCCCGATGTTACCCTTGGCGGGGATGTTCGGAAATGCGGGGGCGAAGGAGATGAATAGTGCGAAATCACAATGCTCGCGTAGGGTGCGAGGCACGCTGGACGGGGGAAGCGAGGTCATAGAGGCAGAGGCCAGCAACGGGATCTGGGTGGCCGACATCTGTGGAAATCGTCAGAGAGAAGGAGAAAGGAGAAACAAAGGACGCACTGTTACTTTGGTACGAAGGTGTTGGTGAACTGTAAGAGTAGGTGTATGGTCAATGTGTTGGGGTTTGTGCGGAATGAGGGGAGTTTATATACGACAGAATAGGGGCTGAGACACTTTTGCTTCCGCGAGCTTTCTGTTCCGCGGATCGAGACTCGGATGCTTCGAAATGTCTCAAACATCCTGAGTTCAGGAGACCGCAGAACGCTGCTGGTAGCATGACATAACTATGGCCCTGGGATTTGATATTGAAGAGCTTGAAGAAAGGAAGATTGAAGTCATCGCGTGGGCTAGGCAAACGGAAGGAGACATACCATCCACTTCTCCCGATCTTCATTTGGCAATAAATTCTTCTGCGCGAGACCAATGATCAATCCCCGTATTGGCGCTGATGGCCCAATTTTTAAGGGTGTTTGGGCGGTACATGGCCACAAATCGGGGATCTCTTGCTAAATCCTGCTCGTCCGGGGAGCCCAGAAGAGTGGTCAGAAGCCCCCGCATGAACCCGATCAGGACGCGCAGAGAAGGGCATGTGCGGAGCAGAGTAAGCCACAGGACATGTGAGGCTCTTTTATTGAACGAGAGGTGCATCAGATGCGGGATTAAGGCCAGATCGAAACGGTTGGCGAATACCTCGAGATGTGTTATCCGCGAAAAAAGCCGGTGGTTGAAATCAATTCGCGGCTGCGAAACAAGAGGGTATGGAGACTGCAGTGAAGCTGCTTCAAAGAGGTGTTTGACGAGCCAAACATGAGCCATAGCCCTAATATATAGACTAAATCCCATGGCCCTAGCCATAGGAAGCGTTGTCTAAATCCACGACGCTAGCCAAGCAGTTGGCTAGTGTCATGTATGTAGAGAAGCGGCTGCGGGTGGTCCTTTTGGGGGCATTCGGGGGGGTACAAGATGTATTTGGCATCTGATGGATGCAATAAAGTCTATTTGGTCTGATGGATGCAATAATCTTCGACCAAATGATCTGTTGAAAATTGTTGATATTGATGGGGCCGTTTTTGGACCCTCCGCCATGTTCTCACGCTTCTCGCCTCCAAATGCGGGAACAATTGCATCCGTCATCACTTCATCCGCTTGGACCGACCATGCATTATTGCATCCGTCCTATCCGTCTGCGCATCATTCCGTGCGCTTACACCCGACCACCCGACCCCGCCCTTTCTCGCGTGCAGTATTGCATCCGTCCTCGCATCATTCCGTGCGCTTACACCCACCCGATCATTCCCGCCTTTTCTCGCTTATTGCATGTCCTCCGCATCATTCTGTGCGCCTACACCCGACACCCGACTATCACCGCCCTTTCTCGCGTGCACTATTGCACCCGCCCACCCAGCATTCCGTCCGCTTCCGACCACCCCGACCATCCCCGCCCTTTCTCGCGTGCACTACTGCACCTGTCCACCCATCATTCCGTCCGCTTCCATCTGGCTACCCGACCATCCCCGCCCTTTCTCGTACTGCATCCGCCCACCCATCATTCCGGCCGCTTCCACCCGACACCCGACCATCCCCGCCCTTTCTCGCGTGCACTACTGCACCTGCCCACCCATCATTCCGGCCGCTTCCACCCGACCACCTGACCATCCCCGCCTTTCTCGCATAAATTATTGCACCCGCCATCATTCCCCGCTCCTACCCAGCCACCCGACCATCCCCGTTTGCACCCGCCCTCCCATCACCGACGCGGTGCTGATATGTGTTTGCTTTCGATGCCATTGCATATTCTTTTTCCCCCTTGTGGGTTTAATATTGATTTTTGTTAAGATTTACATTCTGGCTCGTCCCGCCTGAATGACGCATTGTTGGCCTATGTTTATTTTTAACATACTACTGTGACAATTTATCCCATTTATCCTGAGCTCCTTGGCCCTTGGGTAAGGTTGTTGCAGCTCTCGTAGACTCTCGAGGTCGAACCAGACTTCCGAGATGTACCGGTTGATGCGCGTTCCAGCCATCGCGATAAACCGCCTGCTGATATGCATCACACACCTTGTTGTACTTCTCGCCAGCCATATAAGCGCGTCCAAGAAGACTCTGAGCATCGGAAGGATCTAAAGTTATTATTATGTATAGACCCGCGAGTGAAAGAACAGTTGGGCATACCAGCTTCCAAGTTCTTGGTGAGGTATTGGATGGCGAGGTCTTGGTTCTGGAAGGACGAGCCGTCCTGATGGTACAGCCACCCAAGCTGAAGGACTTTGGCGTGACTTGGGTTGTCGGCAACGTTCACAGCCTGCCAAGAAGAATAGTTAGTGCCATTCTTAGCTTTCCTTAGGTATTTTTGTGTTTTCACACCACTAAGAATAAAACGATGTACGTTACCAGAGAAAAGAAAAAAGCTCATATCGAGATCCTCCCCACCTCACCAACCAAAAAGTTGTAAAAAGGGGAGAAATTATCACAACTCGGATTCGAACCGAGACCTCCTCAACCACAATTTTGTTGATTTAATGAGCTGAGGTACCTTACCGTTCGGCCATAATGACATTTTTTGGGCTTACTGTTGTTGCAAGTATAGTTTAGATTTTCACACCACTAAGAATAAACGATGTAAGTTACCAAAACAAACGAGCGAGAAAAAAAAGACATGTGGTTAAAAAACCCGTAAAAATGCCAGACATGTCATCACTCGGATTCGAACCGAGACCTCCCCACTAGTGCTCATGTTTCCCCTATGTAACTGGGACGCCGTAACCATTCGGCCATAATGACATTTTCTGACTTGCTGTCTGTTCTGACGAGATCTATATCTCACATGTAGATAGATGTAAATATAAAATATACCTTCAATCACCCGTACAAAAGACAACTATTGAGATGCAATGCAGCTACATTACACGTCAGAAAGAAGAGAAAAAAACAGTATTAGAATCGACGTTTGAATAGTTCATAATAGGCTGCCATCCCTTCCATCATCCAAGTCACGTCGAGGACAGCCGCCTCCCAAACTTCCAACTCCGATTGTTCGCCGCCAGAAACCGCACGACCCCAGAAGTAAAGTGAAGCAAGAATACTTAGCGTACCGTTGACTCCCCACTGATAAAGCGGACCCCATTCCCTCCCTGCTTCGCCATACGCCTCGATGCTCCACCTCCCGTCCGTTTCTTTTTTTCTCCAGCTCGGCTGGAGGGAATCCCACCACTGTTGCCACTGCGCAGCATACGCGTGCGGGTCCGTCACCCCCGGTTCTACTCCTCGTTTCCCCCGCAGATTCTTCGAGATCCAGGTCGACACTTGCTCGGGGCGGTGTTTGCTGGGCAGATTCGTCGGCCCGTGCTCGAAACGTGACGCGTGCTCGACACGCGTCCAGGCGGCGACTAGTGCGTGATAGTGGCACCCGAGATCGACGCGCGTTATCTCGGTGTAATGCGTTGGCAAACCAGTCAGGAGCATCGGGCGAGCATGGTGGCAACGTTGACAAACCTGCCACCGCACCGCTCGGCATGCTCAGCGCTGGCGCTGCCATAGCAACGTGGACCTGCGCTGTATGCGACACCGGCGCCAGGGTCAGTGCGCTACTGGTGGGCGTCGACAACTCGAGAGGAAGCGAGGCTGGTGAAGGCGACGTGGACGGAAGTGGGTGCAACAAGGCCATCGTCGGGGACGTCCCGTGAGCGGTAGTTGACCAGGTGAGCGGGGATGCTGATGGTGACAAGCACGCTGCGTTCGAGGTGGCCACGGTAGCCGACGGGGATGCAGTGGGAGCGTCGGGGCCCGGGGTATTTAACTCCATGTCAACCTGCCCAGCATCCGCCCACTGCTCGCGTGGCACGCGGACCTACGTACTGGTCCCACGGGGATGGCAATCTTCTGTGGTTTGGGTTGCGTCGACCGTTGCTTCGTCAACGATTCGGTGACGACTCGCCACTCTGCCTTAAGCGCTTCCAATGCGGCGGTGTTCCGCCGGATATTGGCCTCGCGCTCCTCCCGCGAGATGTGCCAAGGCGCATGTGGAGGCGCCTCTTCCTCCTGCTCCTCCTCCATCTCTGGCTCGTCGTCTTCGTTAGGCTGCTCCCCACCGCTGCCGTCGCTGACCGTCGAGGCGAGAGGTTCGGTGGCAGTAAGCGGAGGCTGAGACGGAGTCAAGACGGGAGGCGTGGTGGCGGTGGCAGCAAGCGGAGGCTGAGACAGAGTCGAGGCGGGAGGCTGAGACGGAGCCAAGACGGGAGGCGCGGTGGCGGCGAGCGGCGCTTGGCACGGATTCGAGGCTGGAGGTGTGGGGAGAGGCGATGCTTGAGATGGAGTCGACGACATCGGAGTCAAGCCAACGGTTGGAGCGTCTGTGGTCGTGGAGGGGGAAGGCTGGGTGGAGGTGGCGCCGCGCGAGTTCTTGGTGGTCGTTTTCTTTGTGGTCGTTTGCTTCAGCTTTTCGCTAGACTTCTTGCACGTCCCTCCTTCTCCGAGCTTCTGCTTCTTCCGAATACGCGCAGCCTCCTCCTCGTCAAGGCTCATATCACTGTCGGAATCCGAATCAGAGTCGGAATCCGAGTCTGACTCGTCATCCGAATCCGAATGAAAGTCTCGGCGGTTGTCGATCGTGTATTTAGCGGCGTTCAAGTCAGTGGTGTTGGGGAGGGCAGCGTCTAGGCAGTCCTGGGGGGCTGTTTTATTATTATTAATGTTAGCTGATTTTTTAAGGGAGTGAGCCCAAGCGTACTGAATGCCGTCTGTAGGTATTCGACCATGAATTCCTGGACGTCCCTAGTGAAGCGCCGTTTATCCCATTGTGCCCAGTGGTGGGCTAATGCTGTATTATTCCGCCCATAGGAGAAGCTACCGTAAATATTTAGTATGTACTACGCATTCTGTAAAACCGAAATGCACATACTGTAATGAGCGAAGCTCGCCTCCATAAGCTGGAACCGGTCCACCAAGAATGAGGGTGGCATGCATTCCGGTGTAAGCATGCAGGCCCTGCAGAATTGGTGCTACGAAGTCGGCAGCCGCTGTAATACAGCTGCGCTGTCATCAGCGATCGTCGCGAAACTAGTAAAGAAAACAAGACTCACTGTTGACGTGCCTCTGGGGTTTGGGAAGGCGGCTCCTTCAGAGCTTTGACATATGCCTCCTTTGCTGCCTGAGCCACTATCTTAGCCCTCGCTCCGATCTCCTTCTGCTCATCCAACGGCAACGCAGCGAAAAGTTCCCTAGCTACCTGAGCGCGAAAGCCAGCTTTGGGGTCTTTAGTCCGCTCTGATGCAAGACCATTCGCCGCGCGATCTGCCTCCACCGCGAGGCAACTACGGGGGCGATTCTGTCGGCGTAGGATTCATGCATAAATTGTTGATATGCTTGGCGCGCTTTCGGGGGTGAGGAAAGTCCTGACAGTTTGGCAAGAAGAACTGCGTAGGGGTCTTGTGTAGGGTCCAGGCCAGCTGTGCTGTGATGTTTACGGATACGGCGGATACGATAGGTAAACCATCGACGGATTCGCTGTCGACGGGTGAGGTGAGGCCGCAGTCACAGCGTGTGACTCGAGTGACTTACCTTATTGAGCAGCTTGACGCGCGCGTTCTTCAGCTCTTCGTCCTCCGGCGACAATGTTTCCTTCGGCACCACTGCCGCTGGATCCCAGTCGGTCAAGATTGGCTCCTCGTGGTCTTCTGTTCTCCAATGGATGCGAGCGTGATACTCTTTACAGACTTGTTTCCAATATTTCCGCTCCTGTCGCCATCCCTTGTCGAGCGCAGCGCCGTAGTCGTCTAGGTGAGGTGCAAGGATGGTTTCTCGTACTCCCTGTGCCATAAACGCAAATTTCTTTTTTTTTCTTTGGGAATGCGCTGCCGCTCGCGCTTCTTGGATGACTTTGCCATAACTGGATTCCTGCATTCAGACTCTACGCATTTTCCTTTAACCTCTGAAGAACGACTCACCTCTTGAGTTCTTCTAAGAAGATGTAACGAGATCAGGAGATTTTTGTTTGGGCTGGTGTGCCAACGAACAGGATAGGATTTCTTTATTTATTCACTTATTATTTCTGGTTAAGCTGTTAACCCTCCAGATCCCGATCCTGCGATCCTATTAAGCCTAACACGTGCCCCATGCTACCATCACGGCGGAGTTCCAATGCTCTACCTATAACTTCCGTCCTTGCGTCGCCACATTTCCCCAACCCCCAACTTTTTGACCACCATGACCAACTTCGCTCCACACTTCAGGAACAGAGACCTCCGTTCCCGTAGCGGGCCTCCTTTCGCCATCCCCCCGGGCAGCGACCGTACGCCTATACTATTGATACTTACACCTTCCTAACCTATATCTCCTAGCGAAACCGTCGCTGCATGCAGAGCATGTGGGTTGCGATGGCGGCACTCCAGCAAGCCCAAGGTGATTCTTTAATTACTTTCCCTCACCTAATCTAACCTTAACTTCTCAGCCTTGTCGCCCTTGCAGGCTCCAGTTCAGGTGGCCCCACCGCCTGTTGTCTCGACTCCGGCCCGGTCGCACCAACCTCAGTCCCAACTGTGGCTCCTCCTCCCACCCCCGCTGGCTTTCGCACCCCATGGCCTTGGGTCGTTGGTGCTTTGTATACGGTTGTTCCTTCAGGGCCCCTTCTCCTCATCGCGGAGCCCGATGCCGTTGAGGCGAGGAAGAAGCAATGGTACGCGATTACCCGTGGCCTCTACGTCGGTGTGACCCTCAGCAACTCTCTGGCGGTCAACGCGGTTTCCGGAGTCTCTCGCAGCGGATGAAGGGCCATGCCACTCAAGCCCTGGCCGCCCCGCCTTCAACGAAATGCTCGCTTACAATATGGTCGCAGTTCTTCACCAGTGAGATTGTAAGTTCTTCATGCGTTCTCTTTCACTTTCTCTGGACTCATCGATTTCAGGCTCGCTCTCATTGACTCCGTACGTATTTTAGTTTTCCCATCGCGTAACTCAGATATGTTTTTGTGCGTAGTTTAAGATGAGAATTTCATTTTTGATGTGGCGTATCTCTGGTCAATTTGACGGCAGCAAAATACACGGATCAAACCCAAAAGGGGTGGATCTACCTACGTAACGGCATACTTGAGATCTCCTTAGATCCACCAGATCTCCAGATCGTGCTTGCCAACAGCTGCAGACATGTTCCTCGGCCCTCGGTCGTTTTTTCACAAGAGTTCAAACTCTGATTCTAATCTGATGTGATGTGTCGTGAGAGCCGTACCTCTTTTAAAGTCACAGTCTTTCCCGCTTTTCCTGGTACCCACCTTCGTTTCTCGTCTCTCCATGACACAGGATACCTCTGACGAGTACGCTGACGAGGAAATCCTCAATCTTATTGCTGCTCTCAATCTAGCGGGACCGGACTCGGACTTGAACCTCCCCACTGCTTCATTGCCGCAGACTCCTCCGCAGACTCCGTCGCATCGTCCTCCTCCCTATACTACTCGTTCAACCTTTCGACCGCAACCAGAAACTCGTGACTCTCCGGGTACTTCTACCCTATACTACTATGAATCCCCACGAGGCACGGGTACACCCCCGAATGGTGGTATCTCCTC